CCCCCTCACAATAGGGGGGGCCCACTTTTCAAAAAATAATCTAGACAAAAAATATGAAGTATAAAATAGAATCAATCTCCATCATTCATTCAAGGGATGCAAAATTATGAGACGGACAACTAGAACTTGATTTGGGGAAAGCATATCCGACCCACAAATCTGCTTGAAGCCATTAACCCGCTTGTGGAGGAGGGATAGCGATAGCAATGTAGTGGCAATAACGCAGGTAAGGAAGGAGAGGAAGTGACGACGGTGGTGTTAAGGTGTTGACACTATTGTCGATCATGTACCTATAATAAATCACTTCAGTGGTGGCGCATCTATATGCGGTGTTGGTGGTTGTGGAGTTCGTGGATTGGAGGAGGTGGCGGTGTTGATTTTAAGTTTGATGTGGATGTGGTGGGTTGTAGGTGGTGGTGGTGTAATTGAGGAGATGATGGCGGTGGTGTTAGGTGGAGGTGACATTTAGGATACAAATTTGTACAGGGTGGTGGTGCGATGGTGTTGGCAGTGAGGTGACAACAGCGTTTGAGTGATGATAGTGGTAATGGTGGAGTGGTGTGGCGGGACAAAATGCTTCTATGACCAATTATTTGGGTAATTTTGACCAATAAAATAGATAATTTGTGACCAATAAGTAGTGTGTGACCTAAAAATGTGATTTATCTATATTTATGGCATACAAATTGTGTTTTTGTTACTCACTTCATATGATTTGTGATTGTGACTATAAATTATGTGATTGTGATCAGACCTAATTAATTAAATTATATATCACAAAATGCGACCACCTGATTTTGGAAAAAAATCTACAAATTTGTTAATTTTGAAAACGTTAATTAGCACATTATGTCATTACCTTACATTATTATTATTATTACTAGGTGCAAGCAACGTGCAATGCACGTTTGCTTAGTTTTTATTTAATATTTTTGTTTAATAAATAATTTGTTATTAATAATGATGTAATTTTTTTTGGTTAATTAAGGGCGTGTCTAGGCGCGCTGTAAGGAGGAAGGAAAATTGATTATGTTACCGTTTTTTTTCAAACCTACAGCCCTACAGTGAGAGAATTGGTCCAAAATTGCGGCTCCCAACGACATGAATTGTGTTACCAACAG